TATTGGCATGTTGATGGCCAGAAACCTGACACATAGTTCCTTGGAGTCAATCATGCCACCCTCAGAGAATGGGAAGTCATTGCCCCCTTCTGCTAGATTGATTGGAAAAGTCACCACTCAGCTGACTGTGTTTTTATGTGTTTCGTATGTCTCCAGTGAGTATAATCGGAGTCCGTACCTAGAGTTTTCTACATCCTGTCACATGGCAGTCACCCATCTAGCATGTGATGGGTCCACTTGAAATGCCTGCAGTAAATGAATCCAGCCTGCGCTTATTTTTTAAATGAGTTCTTCACAGTCCAGATGCACGTGAAATTTTTGGAAGGCTTTTTTCATTTTTCAACTATTTAGATAAACTGAATAAAGTATCTGTGTTTACTTTCATATGATGGGTAGTCACCACCAGCTGGTGAACAAACTGGACATTTCCAAAATATCCATGTTATTATATATCTGTTTCTTAATGAATTTATGTTGGAACCCAATGAACTTTGCTTATGTTTTATAATGTTTGTGACCACTTGGGGTAAAATATGTTCTAGAATTGACCAAAGTCAAAATCAGTGCCTGTATTATTTTCCTTTTGAAAATTGTAATATTCTATCTCACTCTGATTTCCTGGAATTCTCTTTCTTCTGCGTAATCTTTTCCAAATGCCCGATTCTGCCATTGCTGTGATATCCTTTTTGAAATTACTTGAAAGTTAGTCACTCAGCATGTCCCAGAGGGAGATATCAGGGTTTTGGTCTGAGTTATAAGAGGATGAGGTCAAATTTAATTGAGATGGGAACATTATAGAAGGAACAACTTTTCGGGGTTGTCAGTTGTTGAACATGTTACCTTTGAACATCTAGTGGGTATCCAAGCAGTGTGGGATAACTAGTTGGATAATGAAGTCTAGTACTCAGCAGAAATACTAGGCTGGGAGTAACCAGTACATGCATGGCAACCAAAGGTACAAGACTGTATGAAACAAAGCAGGGAGTAGCTATATGGGGAAAAAATTTCAAGATTGAGATCTGGGGAAACTCCACTTACAGATAAATGGTGGGGATGGGAGATATTAAGAAAGATCTAGCATGAGACTGAGAAGCAGGTGGAAAACCAGGTGCGTGTGGTATCTTGGAAACCAAGTGGAAAGTGTTTCAGAGTTCTTTTTTCTTACCCTGTGGGTTCTCAGACTTTGAACAGAGTCAGTCTGATGGTTGTGCAAGACCGTAAAAATTTTATTTTACAAAAGTTTCTGTGTCTTCCAAGGAAATTCTAAACCACATTCAGATTAACTGCACATGATGGCTTTGCCGCCTCTGACAGGGCCAGAATGACGTTAGAACTGGGGGTCAGAAGACTTTGTTTCTCATGCCATCTTCTCCTCTTACTATCACTGTGATGGGGGACAAATTACTTTACCTCCCTATAAAATGGGCATAGCTATGTCTCCCTGCCCTACCCCCTGGCGATGCTCCGAGGAGCTAGTAAATGCATAAGGCACTCTATGGGTTGTTGAAGCATGAACCAAGGAAGCCATTACTGTGACGGAGCTTCTGAGAGACCAACATCCCTGCTCTAAAGGCCCAGGAAGCCGAGCCCGTTGCAAGAAGCTGAAGGTATCATGAGTTATGTTCTGGCTGATGTGTCCTTTCAAAAGTTACTTCTCAGTAGAGTATCTAGTCTTTTTATTTCTTATTCACTTAAAAACAACCATTTAAAAATTCAATTACAATTGGCAGGCAATATTATGTTAGTTTCTAGTGTGCAACATTATGAGCAGACTCTTATCATGTATAACATGCAGTGATCATCCCAGTAGGTCTGTACCCATCTGACACCATACATAGTTATTCACATACAGATTTTTAAAGAAAAAAAATAAGTTTTCACTTAAAATAAATCTTTTATGGAGACATTCTTTTTAAAGATGGATTGTATTGATTACAAAGGATTGATGTTAGACTTTAGCACGTTGCTACTACTTTGCTCTGAGAAATGTCAGTTAGAGAAAGACAAATATCGTATGACCTCTTACATGTGGAATCTAAAGAACAATGCAAACTGACGGACAAAACAGAAACAGACTCAGGTACAGAGCAAAGGCTGATGCTGCCAGAGGGGAACATCCCCCGGAGGGGGTGGGTAAAAAAGGTGAAGCAATTCAGAAGTACAAATTGGTAATTATAGAACAGTCATGGAAGTATAAAATACAACATAGAGAATATAGTAATAACTATGCAATAACATTTTAATGACTATGTATGGGGCCAGGTGGGTAATGAAAATATCAGAAGAATACTTTGTAAAATATATGATTGTCTAACCACTATGCTATACACCTGAAACTAATACAAAATAATATCGAATGTAAAAACAAATTCTTCAAAATAATTCCAATTTAATTTGATTAAATTAGTGTACCTATTCTTTTTATACATACTCTTTTAAAATAGTCTTTAAAAACATTAACACCTAGAATTTTATAAATAATGTGGCTTTTTATATTTCAAAGAAACTCTATGATAGGCAATAGAATGTGATAAAGCTATATACTGTTTTTGCAAACTAAGACCATGTCATCTTTATATCTAAATACACTGTGGTCTTGTTACTGCTTTTAAGTCTTTTAGTGCATTATGGAAAAAAAAGAAAAAGAGATTATCAGTGAAGTTTTTAATACATGGCTGAATGCATTTTTATTTTTTAATTTATTCCAGTTCTCAGTACAAATAAATAAACATCAACAATATCTTGTTAAGCATATTCTCCTTCAATATCTTAAGGTACACAATTATCAAAGCTGATATTGAGCACAAACAAATTGATACAATTCAGTACTCTGATAAAATTCATTATCACATAAATTAATCTGCAGGCAATACAACTTTAGGTCCCATTGCATCTTCAATATAAACTGTGTGCCAAAATGGCTCTTCAAACTTTAAAAGTGCAATTACAGAGTACAAAAAAAGCAAAGAGAACAATATATTTAACATCATTCCAATTTGAATAACATACATGTTTTAGATAAAATTATTCTTTAGTTAAATTATTAAAAAGTACTCTAGCTATTGGTAGGGGATTGGAGGGTGGAGAGATCAAGCAAAGAAGAAAAAAGGACTCCTGGACATGGACAACAGTGTGGTGACCGTGTGGACTGGGAGGGTGTGCGTGGAGGGGGAGAGGGTGTAAGGGGGATAAATGGTAATGGAAAAAATACAATTTAAAAAAAGGAGAAAAAAGGTATTCCAGAACACTGTTTATGCATGTTGTTGCTCCCCCTTCTCCCATATGAATAAGAGTCAGAAAAAAACTGAAAATATTGAGCAGCAAATTAAATGCCTTTTTTCTAAGTCTACAAACTAAATATTGCAGCAAGTGAACAAAGTGGATCAGACATAAGCTTTTACAAAACCTATTATTGATATCAATAGAAATTAGAAACTAATATGCAACTGTTGCATGAAGATATGTTATCTGAAAACAACTGAGTTTAGCTTTCCTCCCAAGGATGCAAAAATAAAAGTGTGAGTTGGGCACAGTCACATCAGTGCACCATTTCTCTTATTGCTTTGACGTTGACATTCGGCAGAAAGATGAGAGCAAACAAAGCATCTAGAACAGTAATGTTCTATTGTATTATAAGTGTTCAACATATTGCATAAACATCAATTTTGAGGTTAAACCTTTTGTACCAATCAATAGAACTTAATGTCCTTGGTTAGAGAATATGTGTCAGGTGAGTTATTGTGTGGCCTTTGTGGGGAGCCATAAATTACGCATTTATGCACTGGATTTACACTTGTTCTCAATATGTTGGCTATGAATAGTCTCTTCTAGAAATATAGTGAGAAATCTGTAAAATGAGGAAGATAGACTAAATGTGATCAAAATCTTCCCATTGTCTGTAGGAAACAAGAGACGATAGCAATCGTATGTTTTACTTTTGTTTAGTACTATCCTCATTAAAGCAATTAGTTTTTACTTATTTTTCATGCAAAAACAGTGACCTGGCTCATACTTTTTAATTTAATGAGCATTTCTAAATAAACGCTTAAATTTTAGAGGTTGGTTCTTTTAAGAATTCTTTTTTAAAAACTTCTTTAAAGATCTTATATTTATTTTTAGAGAGAGGGGAAGGGAGGGAGAAAAGGAGGGAGAGAGTCATCGATGTGAGAGAGAAACGTAGACCTATTGCTTCTTGTACATGCCCCAAACCAGGGACCAATCCTGCGACCTGCGCATGTGCCCTGACCAGGAATCAAAAGGGAGATTTTTTGCTTTGCGTGATGAAGCCCCGCTGAGCTGCACCAGTCGGGGCGTACAAGCATTCCTAAATACAGATTAGAAATGCCCCAAACTACTTACAATTAGATATGTGACATGAGTTAAGAGGCTTAAGGTAAGCCAATATAGCTCCCTTTTTGTCAGTAAGATAAATATATTGAAACTGATTTCTTGGTTAGTCAATACATACTCTTTGAGCAAACAAGATCACTTCAAATGGGCTTTTACATTTTGTTTACAGGGTCAATAAGTATGCACAGGATTTAAAATGAGTTCTTACACAGTATATTTGACTTCAGCTATATTAAATAGGGAACAGAAATATTCTTTTTGATCTCACTAAATTTTATTCTATTTATCTTTATTGTGGCACAAAGTTTTATGTATTTTTGATAAAGCACAAATGACTAATTCTGCCTGACTGAGCTCATGTAGGTTTACATGTGAACATCTATATTCCCTTCATAGTAAGGAACCAGGTCTAGGACTTTGGATTGGAGTCAGGTGCATGCACGAGCCTGTATAACACAGGGAGGGATTCAGGAGAGAGCAAGTCCTAGCACCAAGCACTTCATAGGTTAGCCATCTTCTCTCGGTCACCCTCGCATATATCAGGATAGAGAGGAGAGAAAGAAGAGACCTTCCCCAACCAGATGTATAGTCCTGTGTAGTCCTGAGAGATGCCACCCAAAGGTCCAGCAGGTCCCAATGGGACAGTCTCCCAGGAGATCCATGCTGGTGGCAGCTGTGGCTCCTTATGCAGTTGCCCCGGGTACCCTTATTAACTCTCTGAGACCACAGGCCCAGAGTGCAGGAGAAGCTTTAGTCTCTGACAAAAAATAAACAAAAGACAAAAAAAATAGGGCCTGGTTTCATCTCAGCCTCCACAATAAGGATGAATGATTAAGTCTAAATTGGAAAAGCTTTCAAATAAGTTTGTTCACTTTATAAAATATATTGTGATTTACTTTTTCTTATTTTCCCACATCTAGCATCAAGATATAATTTTAAATGTGTAATTTTAAAGTCTACAAAAATCAACTTACTGACTTTTATTCAAATTTAAAACCTCTTATGTAGAAAATAACTGCATTTATGTCTTTGGATGATATATATATATGACTATTGTCTTATGCTTTAAAATAATGATTAGTCCATCAAATTTTGGACTGTAGTTAATCCAGCAAATTTTGGACTGGAGTTAATCTTGGAATTATTCAAGCCAAGTCTCAATGAAAATAAATTTTAAAAAAGCACAAATTTTGGTTTTCAGTATGGACTTCTTTTTAATTATCTCACAGGCAACAGTTACCTCACATAAATGCTGTACAAAAAGGAGTATTGTAAGGGTTTAAAATAACCACTATTTGTATAAAAGATAATATAAAATTAAGCTCTCAGTGCATTTCACTTAAGGAGAATCTGTTAGATGGGTGACTAGGACCCACAGGAGTTGTGGGTTGCCCTACAGAATTGTCCACTTCCCTTCTAGGGACATGAACAGAGGTACAGCTGGCGAGGAGCCAAGAGGGGGCAGAGCTTTCCCAGCTTAGTTTGTTTCAAAGGGGTAACGTATAGCACATGACTCACATTTGCTTCCCCCCAATTCCCATTGTATCAAATGTTTCAACACGTGACACAGTGGTGTCAACATATACACCAGACTACGGCATCATCACACCAATGATCATTGCTTTGAGGAGTAGAAAAATATATTTATTAAATTAATTTGACCGTGTATTTGGGCTTACAGAAGTCCACCATTTGCCAGTACTTCCTGAGCAAGTTATTTGCAGCAGGCAAAGAAGCTTCGGAGCTTTCAACGAAGCATTTAGCCCAGGAAGAAATATATATTAATTTTCTTGCTATATTTGTTTGTGAATCGTATACAAGTAGTATGTCAAAAATAAAACAAAAGTAAAAATGTGTCTAAGTATACTAAAATATGCCATTGTCAACAGCACATGTCCAAACATAAATATTATTAATAAAATAGGAATATTAACACCAACAGGCGTGCTGCACAGCCCGGCCCATGCGCGGGGTGGCACCGTTCAGACTTGAGGCAGCGCCAGGTCCCCTGAGGTCACCCTTTCATATTCCTTCCTTAATTTTTCACTTTTTCGATTTCTGCACCTAGAAATAAATATTCAGAAATAAAATGTTAGCACTGTATGTAACAGTAGTAACAACGGTGTATGTTAACAAAAGAAACAAGTGCATGGACTCAAAAGGTGCGTCCGTACAGGCAAGAAGGGGCTGGAGAGAGGTGTTCCAAGTCATGAAATCCAAAGACTACAACCAAGATTGCTCTATCCAGCAAAACTTTCATTTAGAATGGAAGGGCAGATAAAGTGCTTCTCAGGTAAGATCAAGTTCAAGGAGTTCATCATCACCAAGCCCTTATTATATGAAATGTTAAAGGGACTTACCTAAGAAAAAGGAGTTAAAAAAACATGAACAGTGAAAGGACAGCAAACTCACAGTTATTAAGAACCACACCTAAAACGAAAGCAAACTAAAAGGACAGCTAGATCAGGAGTGGAAACATAGAAATGAAGATCTCAAGGAGGGTTAGCAACAGGAGAGTGGGAGGAGGAGAAGGGGAGAGAAGGTACAGAAAATAAGTAGCATAGATGGTAGGTAGAAAATAGATGGGGGGCAAGTACAGTATGGGAAATATAAAATCTAAAGAACTTGAGACACATGGTCATAAACTAAAGGGGGGGTAATGGGGATGGGGAGGTAGGGTGGAGGGGAATGAAGGGGGGGAATAGAACAACTGTAACAGCATAATCAATAAAAAAAATTAAAAAAAGAAAAAGGTGCGTCCGCGTAGTGTTTCCAGAATGACAGCGGAGATTTAGGCTGGACGAGGAGAAATGAGGACAGAGGGAGGGGTAGCAGTGTGCGGTCAAAGAGTTTTTGAAGGAAACGGTGGAATGCAATTAAAGGCGTCCTCAGAGGCTTGAATCTTATTATGAAAATTGTAAAATTCCAGGAGCATGTGACCACATGTAAGCTACTTTGGTTCTTTTTCTTTCTCTTTCTTTCCTTCTCTCTCTCCCTCTCTTTCTCCTCCTCCCTCCCACTCTCTCCCCTCTTTCTTTGCTTCCTTCTTTCCTACCTACCTACTCAGGAACTGGCATTTTGAATATTGCACTATATTATTATATTCCATCCATCACTTTGACATAATGCTATCACCAATAAAAATTTAAATGACCAGTATTAGCCACTAGTTAGGTGACTGATAATGGCTAAGTACTGTCCATTCAGTAATTATTTTATCTGCACATTTACTGTTATCATCTTCATTTTACAGATAAAGAAAGTGATGTTCAAATAAGTTATAGAACCTGGCCAAGATCTCCCAACTAGGATTCATAAATCTATCAGGATTCAGAATCATTCATTCATTCATTTACTCAAGCTATCTTCCTAATATTTTGAGTTAATTTTCTACCCATTTTGGAATGAGGTGCATAGTCTATGCTTTGTGGAATAATACAGTTAAAAAGCCTTTGTTTCGACTTGGTTCTGCCACTGGTCAACTCCACGAGCTGGGGCATGGCAGTTTACCACTCTAGACATCATCTTCCCCTTCTTCGTAAAGGAAAGAACCGTAGTCAGACAACTCTAAGGTGTATTTCAGCTTTAATCACATTCCGTTCTGTGATCATAACTAATGAGGAAGGCATTGTTACGTGATGGGTACTTAAAATCAAACAGGCAAAAATAAATGTAATCTTGTAAAAGTAGTGCACTTTCAGACCTTTGAAAGAAGTACACTGCTTTCAGGGAAAAAAAATTCATGCAAACGTACACTGAACACTTTGTAACAGCTCCGAAATAAGAAGGATTTCCTGGAGACATTTTAAGAGCAGCTGTATTAACTGATGCACACTGTTCCCACATCCTGGTCCTGACCTGGACGCCGTGGCACTACGCGTGACCATCCGCGAGGGGGGAGTGTGATTGTTTCGGGAGACTGACGTGGACCATTTTTTTAAAGGTAAGCTTCTATAATTGTCTGGAAACTCATTTCTATTAGTCTGCCTTAAAATTTAAAGTACTAAGTGTCTGGGGTTATTTAATTTACAAGGCTGTGTTTTATAGAATACAAAAATTTGACCCAATACATTAAAGATAAGTGACAAAGCCTAACACTGGCATCAAGGCATATGGCTTACTTTCTCGCGTGTTATCGTAGTTAACACTGAGGGAGGTTCTGTAATTAATGCAGAATAAGGGTTTCTATCTGCATTTTATAATGGACTGAGACTCCCAAGTTTGACTTGCACCAGGTCACATGGGTAGTAAGTAGCAGAGCTAATAGTAGAATCAAAGCCCAATGTGCCACTAAAACCTCTGTATAAACATCTTTGGTGCAGAGTCTGACTTATGCCTCTAAAAAGATACTTTGTCCATATTTTTAACCAGTTTGAAAGCCTATGTTGTATAAAAACAATTTATAAAAGCAGAGATAAAAACACAGTGACTTACCACTTCCAGAAGTAGTATATGGAACCGGTGAGTAAGAGAAGAAAGAAGGTGGTAAGAATCACAGTCAGAGCCACGTATTCTTCGCTCAAAGGCTGCTGGACGGTTAAGAAGAAGTGCTCGCATCGGCTGCCGGTGTAACCCGAATAGCACCTAGAGGAAAACGCCAGAGAAGGGTCCATTACTTTTTTTAAAAACACGGTTATGACTTTTGTATGAACTGATCTCACGCTATAATGCAAGAAATCAGCAAGGTTTGCCAAAAGTTAAAAAGTGAACTCAAAGACTGACCTAGCACTAGGTCAACATGAATCAAAGGGGGTCCACACAGCCCTCAAGCTGCACTGTGGTGTAGAAATGGTGCTCTGGTTCTGCAGCCAGTCTAGAATAGCATTTCATGACTTTTTAAGGCTTGAAGTGCTTTTTGTCTATATCAGTGGAATCAGGTCCTAAAACACTGGCTGATAAGTCCAGTGAAAAGATTGAAAAATGAGCTACTCTTGGGAGGCATGCATGAGAGGCAGGTATCTGAAGCCCCCCCCCCCCCAGCCTATACCCCAGAAGTATCTGTGCAATTTGATAACTACTATTTGCCCTGTAATTAAAAAAAACTCAATAAAGTTTTTAATAGAAGATATAAATTGCATACTCAAAGTACATATATTCTGCTCCCCATGTAAACATGAGTAACCTCAAAAATTAAAAAATAAAGAAATACGCATTTCAAAACCTTTTTTGTTTGTTGTTTGTTGGAGGATGTTACCTGCAGTGTTTTTCGCTCATGTCCACCAGGTAGATGCACTCTCCGTGCAAACAGTAGCCATTCAGGTCGGAGCTACACTTTATTTTCAACACCTGAGCCACACGTGGAATGTTTCTTGTCTGATCTGTGAAGCAAATGGAAAGTTTAATACATTCTGTTGACTTCTTTGAAACATTAAACATCCTCTTATAATAGTAACCACTAATCTACTGTAATGAAGCAGGTCAGATCACTGAAGGAGAAGAGAATTTTCAAGAGTAGAAAGTTCCTCTAGTTATCACACTCCCTAAACAAGAAACAAACACCAGAGCCCAAAGGAAAGTGTCCAAGAGACTAAACCAGAGAAATGTGGGGATTTAATTCTCAAAGGATAACATTTAAAGATAGAGAAGGTGAGTTTAGGACACACACACACACACACACACACACACATTACCCTCCACAATTTTTCACTTAGCCAAAGTGTGTTTAAATTTTTTAATCTCAAAATAATTCTGAAATTCATTATTCTAAAAGTAATTGTAAGCCAAATACATTAGTTAATTAAAAAGAGCTCAATTCTCTATTGGCTTTGAAGCTAGTAAGGCTGATTTCTGTGTAGTTTCCAGAATTTTTGAGGTTACCATCAAAGAAATCAATTAAGGCCTCCCAACTTCTCTATCAATGAGACCTGAACAGGAACTAGATTAAACCTGAGTTACAGATGCCACGGTTAGGCAACTACAACCAAGAAAATAGGAGAGCTGTTAGAAATAGTGTTGCAACTTACATGTGAAATTCACTTTGGAATATTTTAGTTACTAAAATGTGGAAGATGTATATGAAATAATTTTTTAAAATAGTATCTTGTTTGTAACAAACAACAACAAAACAAAGGAGGGGAGAAGAGGGAGGCAGACTAACCCTCCAGAGAGCCCAGTAATGAAGGCAGACAAGAGAGAGAAGGTGAAGTTGTTGAGCAAAACATCTTGGTTCCTCAGCATAAGTAATCCTTGTCTCCACAACGCAGGATAATCCTTGACTCAACTGCACGAGGACCCTTCCCTAAATATAAAGCAGAGCCACGTTCAGAGTGCTCTAGTGTCCTTGAGGGGAGAAGATGGTGCATCATTCACCTTTGTATCTCTATGCTTAAACACCATGTTTGGCACGTAGCTCATGCTCCATAAATGTTTCTGTATAAATGCTGTGACTAAAAAGACAGGATATCACTTGTTCCTGTTACAAAGAAACAACAACAAAATACATTGATTATCTACTGTGTACGAAGTTTAAATTCCCCTATTTGGCCTGGGATCCAGCCTCTAACAATGTTTCACAGAGAAGCTCTGGAGAATGACCATAGGGAATCTGATTTTCTCCTTCGCTATGTCTTTAAGATCAAATTTCTCCATATAACTAGAGAAACTGCCCCCAATTAGTTCTTTACATCAGTTTTCCAGATTGCTGGTTCATAAGGGGATTAAGCATTCTTTTGTTAATACAGTAGCTGCCGTATATGTACAGTCTTTGAGTTTTTACATTACTGTTCAAAACGTGTAATCCTTTGAAGCGCTGTTGACAAAGCTGGGCTTACCTGAAGCTGTGCAGTTGTCTCCAGATTCTCCGGGGGCACATGAAGGGACCACAGTTGTACTGAGCACCACTTGTAGAAGATGAAAACCTGTTGATGAAAGAATTACGTAATTAATGCTTCAAGGAAAAAAAGCTTGGTCAGATTTCCACAAAACTGCAGTATTTATAGAGTTGTTGAAATTAATTTGAGAATTGATCCATCAAAACCATAAAAGAAAACAATTCATGGAAACAGGCATATAATAGAAAATGCACCCAAGATCTTATATCCAAGGGTAAAAGCCTTGGCACTATATTCACACTTAGTTATAGATTTAACCTTCTTTAAATGTCTCACGGGAACATTTCAAAGGCCTCATTTTGAAGTCTGATACCCTAAGAAGCACAGAAGTTAGAAAATTGTAGGCTCTCCAGTGTTTTACTCCAGGTCAAGCTTGAAGCAATGCTCTAAGGTAGGACCTACCATACAAAAAAGCTTCAAATAAGAATTAGGATCTACTTATGGTACCAACTGTACAGGTTCTCCACCTAAGATATATTTGTTGTTGATTAAGTGTCTAAATTACTCTTTGCATTGTAAAAGGTAACCTAAGTGAAGTCAGAACATATCTAATGTGGGAATGAGCACACATGCTAGATGAACCACAATGAGCCCTAGAATACAGTTCCCATCAGCCCGGGAAGCAGTTGAACATCACGTGTCTCCAATGAAAAGATAAATATTGAAAAATAGGCACCAGAATTACTCAAGTAGTTTCTGAATTGCGTAGAAAGCATAAGAAGGATGACTTTATTTGCACAGATATTTATGAGAGAGAGTTTAGTCTCATCTGTTCAAGAATGATTTATTTGTCCTTCAACCACTCTTTCTAGTCTGTATGAGCAATTGTTATATAAATATAAATAGTGGTAACATTGGCAGCAGTTAACATTTCTTGAACATGTACTATATGCAAACCTTGTTCTACCCTCCTTATTTATATTTTCTCATTTAAACATTTTATTGACTCTTTGGTGAAGGTACTAGTGCTGCTATTAGACATATGAGAAAAGAGAAACATAAAGAGTTTAAGTAACTTTCCTAAAGGTACACAGTATTGTTCTTAATGGATCACGTTACAGAATTTGGAAACAGACAACAATACTACAGTATAATAGACAGCACATGGAAGGAACAAGTATAAATGTAATTGAAGTGATTATTTAACTAACCCCAAAGGGAGACAACAAAGTACGATGAAAAGGCAATCCTGGGAGAAAACTTGAGCTATGTGATTTATTTTGCCCCTTAGAGTTTTTGGGAGAATTGAATGAAGTGATGTTTTTCTGAAATGTCTAGCATAGCAGAGATTCCGTAAGTGTTCCCTGGTCCTCATCATCTCGCCTCTGGTGTCAGCAGTAAGTATGTGGAGTGCCCTCTACTGGTCTGTAACAAGATTGTAATATCTGTAATTGGGTATTTTAAACAATGATTTAACCCTTGTAATAAAGGATTTTATTTTTTTCTCAGAGAAGGCATGTATGTGTTAAAGAAATTGGGTTATTTTCATCAGTATCATAGTTGTAATTTTATGTTTTAAGCTTGATACTCCTAATAATCCTGTGAAGTAGTCACTATCCTCAAACAACCTCTGTGCACTTAACTTAAATGTCCTAAGACCAATTATCCAGTTACCATCGGAGATGAGAGTTAGAAATGTATCTTTTGACATTGTCCCATAATCTTTCAATGATTTGAAAACACTTTTCAAAAAGTTTAAAACTATCTCCTCCCCCTTCTGTGTTTCTACAATATAAATGCTGTTTCAATTACTCTCATAGGAAAAAAACATCATCTTTGTTAAATAAGAAACCTGACCAAAATTTGGATTTCATTGTCAGTCGAATAGTGATGAAAAAAGATTACTTTGTCCACAGAGTTTTTCATAAAGAATGCACTGTAATCTCATCCAGGTCAATTTTGCACCACTTCTTGATATAATTTTGCTATGCATTTTAACGACTAAAGAATTAAACCCTTTAACTTAGACAAACTGGAGATCTAGATTTGTGTTTTTACATCCTTGAGCCTCCTATTCCCCCCTGCTTCTGCAGCTGAGGAGTTCTTTGGAGGCAACATCACCAGTTCTCTCACCAAGAAAGGCCAGCCCTGCCCATTGTGCAAAGGCACATTTGAAGCACATTCCTTTATCCTCTGCAGGAATCAGAAACTAGCCTCTCCTGTTTGGAATTGCTTCCAGCTGCAATCTGGGACTATTTTAGAATCCAGCTAATCATTTGGGGGTGTTGCTTCTCAGTGTGTTGTTTTGTTTTGCATTCAGGATTCTAGTAGTTTGTTGGTTTTTCCATTGTTGGAAACTTTGTCCCAGTTGGTCAGGCCACAGGTGAAATATTTGTCTTTGTGAATTAAAGAATGTTCGGTGCAGGGTGTGCCTCCATGAAAGCTGGGCTCTCCTCACCTGTGACACTCCCTTGGACATAGTCCATCGCTCAGGATGGTTTCTGTGAGACTCACTGCATTAATCCAACATCCGGGTATTTTACAAATGAAATTGTAAATAATTTTAAATGTTACCCGCAAAAGAAGGTGTTTAGATTGCAGTTCCATCATGGGTGTAGGAAGCCAATAAGACAGCAAAGTTGGTTCTAAATCATGGGTTCATTTACATAGCTCTCCTGCTTTAAAACAGTGATTCTCAAGCTTTCCTCCACCTCACCTCTGCCCCAGGCCCTTGCAAATGGGGGTAGAGGAGTAAGTGGGAGTGATCAAAAGATGGAAAATCTCCACCAGAGAAAGTTCTGATATCTACTACCCTGCCACTTTTAAGAATCACTCACTACTTGTTATTTTAAAGTCTAGAGGGAAGAAATCGATGCTAAAGTCATATTTGCATACATATTTTTTAATCTTTTGGTTTTTCATGACATTGATGATCTCTCAAAGATTCAACTATAAATATTATACTTGAGTTTTAGTCCTTTACCATGGGTTCTGCTAAGAAAATAATTGACTACGATACTGAAACTTTTGGATAGTACCGTTGTTTCAGAAAACAGATCTAGTGGCAAGTTTATATTGGTAAATAATACACGAGGAATTCTGCACAGGGTGATATGGGGTAAATGATTTATAAACTCAAAATTGGCAGCTAAAACTTCTACTTCAATGCTTCTATGAAAATCAAAGTCCCCTTAAAGCCATTTTTTTTGGTCTAGTTTCCAAGTGGGTTTTAGGATTCTGAACCTCACCTACTCTTCTCTCTACCGTCATCTTTCAGAGATTGTGCTATAGTGAAATCTCCAAGATGCCAGCAGGAAGTGGTGCCCGTGACTCACAGGATACAAACTACCTCTAACCTGTGAGTCACGGCCAGGCCTACACCCTTACACAATATCGGGGACTGCACACAAGAGGCAGGTTGAATGCTGTCACCTGAATGAGAGGGGGTGCACTCAGTGCTGTGGGCCCCGGGGCACCAAGATGGTTTATGCAACAGCAGGAGGAATTTCTCATGTCAGAAATGTCCTTCTATTGCACCTGGTTTCTCTTGACCTTGCTTTTTTTTTGGCCATGTGGAGGGGCTTATCCACACGGAGGCAGGGACTTATTCCCTGGCCTACCAAGTCAGTCAAGTCTGCAAAATTGATGAGAATTTTCAGGGATAAAAATGGTTCTGAAAAACAATCGAGCATGTAAAAGTGACCCAAAGTAAAATGACATAGGTTACAGAATGAAAATGATTTTTCTAATTTTACCTTTTATAATGTGTAGAACCGAACAGCAAACTCATAATAAATCATAGTATTTGCCCAGCCCAAATAGGCAGCAAAATCACTTTGTTCACACTTTCTCTGTGGTCACATATGCGTCAACTCACGGACTGTTAGTTCTCCTGCCTCTTTCACAGCACTCTATAATTTTGGCATTTGTCTCTAACGTAGTAGGCAGGTTAGATCTTGTATGCTTTGAAGGGTAAACATACCTTCACCATTTCCAGACGCATTTCATTTAAATTACATTCCACGAGTAGACATGGTCTCACTGCGCCTTGGTTAAAACGACTAAAATCTGTGTTACATTACATAATGTACAAAACTACTCTCAACACTTTCTGGTAACATCCTATGTTTCATATATTTGGAAATAATCCTGCCTTTGTTGGTAGCAATCATTCTCTTCTTACAGTTTTTCATGTTAATCCTTTAACTAAGGTATTAAAAAATGAAATGTAAAAACCAATGATAGCTGTTTGAGATAAAACAGGATGCAACCAGAGGTTGATGTCATAATGGTTACAAATAAGTATTTCTTTTAATTTTGACATTAAGAGACAGCCATGGGATCCTCATTATCAAGGCGCAAGAAAAGATTTAATAGACCATGTCTTTCAATTCATAAGCACTATACTCTTCAATTTTGCTAGTAATTTTAAAGTCATACTTCAGAGTGCTCATATTTTAGTAACCATACAAGACTATTCTTCAAGCTATTCAAATCAAGAGTCTATATGCTGAAATGTGAGGGTAGAACTTATTTTATCCTAAAGTAGACTTAAAGATGTATCTTGTTCATAATGGAAATATTCTCATAACATGAGAGAATGCATATCAACTCTTGTGTAAAGGTTATACTTTTATTAATCTGAGTATTTAGAATGTGGTAACTAAAGAGCTCCTAATGTGGGACTTGCATCTCCTAAAAGCCGAAGATTCATTTCTAGAGTATTATTTCAAATGTCTTTTGGGGAAAATATTATTTTCTTCAACATAATGTTGTATGGGAGGGTCTTTTATAACCCTTTTTACCTCTACTCCCTTTCATCTTGCTTCTCATACCTATCCCTGTAGACCAATCCAGAAATTTCCAGGACTCCTACATTACTGTTTCCAAAGAAACATCTCCCAAAGGAGCAGCAGTTTGGATGGTGAGTGTTTGCCATTTGCCTTCTTTTCAGTATGGTCACATTACGGCCTGCAGCCTGGAATATGTAATGACATTTTAAGAAAAATGTTGACTATCGTCCCATCCATTGTTTATAAAGGCCTATTGCTAAAAATGAATTTGCGAAATAACAGAGTTTTAATCAGTTAGCAACAAAAAAGGGGGGACATGAGTACACAAAGGTAATTTTTAAAGTCTAAAAGTTAATTACTCTTCATTCAGCAAATCCACATAATGCACCTAGCACATTTGAAACTGCTAAAAATTTATTTTGTGGAATATATTTTTGGTTAAATTGGTGACCTCAGCTTCAGTAAGAAGCACATATGCAGCTGTAGTGTAACACTCAAGTGGGAAGCACCAAGTTACACCCGATGAATAAAAGAAAAGAGAGTAGCTTAGCCTGTGCTTATTTTTAATAACTACATATCTCAAATTATATTTGCTCAATAAATATCTGGTGAGGTTTTTCTGTATGCAAGATATTGAACAAGATGCTGAAAGAAAAATTGACATGAATGATATAGCTCCTGTCCTGAGTGGATTTAATGGGACTAGATACCTGGGGACGGAAAGGAAAAGAGAAAATTCATAGACGATGCCAAGTTTCTGGGTAGAAAATACAAAGGAGGGCGGTGGCGCTAAAAGAGTAGGAAACAGGCAGATCAGCAGGTTTGTGGTGGCGCTTGCTGCTCGTAGACATGAAAGGAAAATATAATGAGTGAAGGAATGGAAGTGTAGTTCATATAGCATCCATTCATATTATATTTATTATACTGTATTATTATGTTACATTATATTAAATAATCGAGTTGGTGGAGTTTATTTGAAACTCATATGAGAAAATATGACCTTTAAAGATAGAGGAGCCACTCAAATGTTTCAAGGGAAATAGGATGGAATGGGGAAATAATAGAACATTGGGACACAGTTAGTAAGGAGTGAGAAATGGCCAAGAAAATTGGGGGGAAAAGAAGTTCGGTGTTGTGGGAGGCAAGAAATCAGAATCATAAAAGGAGGCATGGGGTAGTCAGCAAGGCAATGATAAAAGAAGAAAGTATGAGTGACTCCATCATGAACAAGATTCATTATTATTCAGGGAAAACAGTGCTAAAATCAGCCATAAAAATTGCTAAGTTGATTTTTTAGCACTAGAATCAATTTTATGCTTTCATCCAGCTTACCATCAGTGTTAATTGTCTTGGTAACTTAAGCATTGATCATTTAAACTGTGAATTATGAGTGCCAGTGTGTTATAGCAATGGAACACCATTGGACTAGGGGCTCTCAACCCAGAGTTTGTCAACCTGGGACGTTTGGCAATGCCTGGGGACATTTTTTTGTTGTCGTTGTCACAACCAGAGGGGGCAGGGTGATACTGACATCTAGTGGGTAGAAGCCAGGGCTTGCTGCTATAGATCCAGTGATTCCCGTAGAAAGGCTCACAACTAAGGGTTATCCAGTTCAGAATGCAGATACACCCAAGGCTGAAAAACCTGTATTACACCCATGAGCTAAGGAGTCCAGTTCTAGCTCAGACACTAATTTTATTTTGCTGCAGCTGAATTTTCTTATCTCTGGAAACAGAGATCTAGGAATGGAAAATGGAATTTAGATTAGATTATTATATGATTATTAGATTATTAATAATTATTAATAATAATCTAATAATCTAATAGTAATAGATTATTAGATTAATATTACTATTAATAGATTATTAATAGTAATATTACTATTAGATTATTAGATTATTCTATCCTTCCATTTCTAAAACAATACTTTTCCTTTTTTTACTGATTATCCACCATTCCGTCATATCACTGCTCGGTCTCTCTTTCTCTCTCTCTCTCTCACATACCCACACCCACAGTTCATGTAATTTAAAATATGCTTAACTTTTGTTTGGCAGACCATTAGTGAATACATACTATACTAAGAGATAGAAATGGGGAAAAGAGGGAAGAATAACTTTAGGTTTTATCATAAACAACAAAATTAATTTTCAAAAACTATTGCTTAAGTCTCAAAATATTTAGCTTCTCAAGCACATTTTCAAAGAACAGCTGGATGAGTCAAAACATAGTGGTGAGAATTCTAAAAGTATCAATCTAATCATTCATCCAACTAACACTTACTAAGTATTTCATATTAGCCTATCATAATGTAAATGGAAAAAAGAGTGCGGCATCAGCAAGAAGAGGCGAGGTTAGCTACACACAGAATAACTGAGAAGTGCAGAACCACAGAAATAGAGAGGTGCAAGAACAGTGTGGGGGAGAGGCTGCACCTTTTCCCATTTTATTTTATTTTTTGCCAGGGGAGAATGAGAACATAGTCCCCCACTACCACAGATTATGCAGTCGAGTTTCTCACGTTCAGAGAAATTGCAGGGTCAGCACATGGAGGTGCAGTGGATGTGCCTCGCCCTGGGAAACCACTTTCGTAACGGTGGCATCGGCCCTGCCAGGTAAGTACGCACACTGATTTTCGTGTGGCGGGAGAAGAAAGGTGGGGGGGCCTTATCAGAGAACAGTCTTAAAGGATGAGTAGAATTTCATCAGAAGTGAAGAGTGAGTTGGGGCTGATCACAGCAGAGGGTCAGCGCCCTCAAACATAAAGCCTTACACGTGGATGACTCTTCTTTTTAAGTCTGTTTCTTCGTTTGCAAAATGGGAATAATAATACCTTTCCCAGTTAAAAGGGAATTATTGTAAGGACCAAATGAAGTATTCTGTAAGAAAGCACTTGATGATGATGATGATGATACCTCTAATTTTAAAAGTGATTTTATTATTTTCTAATGTCATCCAACTCATTAAATTCATGTACAATAATCTGATAACACAGGTATTATGAACTATTTTACAGATGAGAAAACAGGTTCCAAAAAAAAGTCTTCCTGAAAATATCAGATAAAACAACTGGGTTGTGAAACCTATATTCTACACACGTGTGTGTATATATATATATATATATATATATATATATATATGAGAGTGAGGCTTTTTTCTTACATGGAAGATTTTCCAGAGGATTTGTATCTAACTCACTTTCATGCCTCAAATTTAAAATTTAGGATTTCTGTCCTAAGAAATTAAGGGTTAGCATTTTTCTGGACAACTGCCAAATCATTGTGTATATCACAGATAGCTAATTAAATCATTACTTTAACCTAGAATGTCACTGAACCTCTGTCTGCCCTGTAACTAGACACCCAGTCTTCGCTAATGCACTGCACCGCCAGAGGACTCTGAGTCTGTCACTTCATTTTTTCAAAGCTTCCAGAATTGCCATCCCAAGGTGATGGCTGTCAGGGTGCTCCTCCCCAGGGATCTCGCCTATCATAGCTTCGGAGAGTCTTCCCATTGTCTTCTGAAGGAATGTTCCCAGCATATTAATTAAATGGTTTGCATAGGTAGTCTAATTCAGAATAAAGACTTGCAGATGAGGAAACCACACCTTAATTTATAGTCTCTTTGAACACAATTTCTTACATGGTATTTGCATCTTTTGGGTGATAATTAACCAGGAAATGGGGAATTTGGGGGCAAAGATGTACAGAAGACATTTACTCTTGCCGTTTACACAAGTTTCTTCACTGAGCCTTAGTTCCTTCATTTGTCAAACTGGGCTAATCCCACTGATCTCATACGGCTATTTTAAGAAGCAAATGATATGCTATGTGTGAAGCACCTAACACACAACAGGTTTGGCTCACATTAGGCATTTGGTAACTGTTAGTTCCGTTTCCAGCTCCTGGATTTGGCCCCCAGTGCAGAGAACCATACACCCCGATTACCGAAGTTGTTCATGTGGCAAGATGATGTGTAAGGCAGCTCGGACACCCAGGTACCAAACCAGAAAGGAGAGGCCCGTCATCATGTTTGCTGCCTATGATGTGTCATCTCAGGTGAGCTAACATTCAGGCAGCTCATAAACTCTCGGGTAAACAGAAAAGATCTGAGGAAAGTCAATCTTTCACTGAGATCTGTGCTTCTCATATTTTCGAGGAAGATTGTTTGTTTATATTCTTCTCAATTGTCTGTCATTGTACAATGAAATAAGGATAAATTGTCTTGGAGATAGCACTCAGGAACATGCTCCCAAGACCATTTGGGTGTCAATGAAAATGTTTGATTTTAGGTCAAGAGCCCCCAAGCACTAATTGCTGGACTCAAGATAAAAATTTCTCCTCTTTGCTCTGGTACAGACACAAGATTGAAATGATAATTCAACTCTAAAATTGTTGACTTTTTAGAAATGTGTTATCTAGTTTGGGGAACTAGAACTTTTACTTATGTTCAGTGAGCTGAAAAGTGCTGGCACACTCAGGTGTGAATTCTCGTAGTTTCACCTTGCTTTTCTATGGGAACTTGGGTTACAGTTTCCCTATATATAGTAAGAACATCAATATCAAATAATAAAATTTTAAAATAACCAAATGATTGTGTGAGTGAGTAGCAATTTAAATCTGTATGTGTTTGAGGCAGAAGATGGAACTGAAGATGTCTATATTTTTTTCATAGCCATAAAGACATATAAATTCCACAAGAAAGCAATAATAAACTGTTTGCTGAAATCTAAAATAAATGAGAATAGTCATTTGGGAAAAGCATTTCTAGGTAATCATTTTGGGCATGGGGCATGAGGGACAATTTCAGAAATAACAGATGGCTTCATCTTTTTCCATGTGCTTTAGAATAAAACCATTGGCCTTGCATACTTGCATGGACTGTAGAGAGATGACATAGAACTTCAAACAGGAACTTTCCTAGTGGCAGAGAGATATCTAAACACACTGGGAAAACAGAAACTGACCTAGCTCATTTGAAAATGGGCTTGGCAGCTGATGAAATAGGTGAACCGTAATTAAGTAATGCAATAAAGGACTTAAGCACTTTCATAACAACAAACACACACACGACATACACTAGGTGGGTAGTAACCAGGTTATTCATAGGCCCTTGCTGTCTCAAATTAGAATGTTCGAAGAACCTCCCAGGACAGACACGCATTGTTGGGATGCAACCTTACAGGGACTGTGGTCCGGGGAGCACTAAGCCTTTCTGACCTCTAGGTTAATTTCTAACTGCAAGGAGACTGTCACTTTTCCAACTCTGTTCTTCTCACAGAGACTTCAAAACAGAGATCGCAAAGCCACATTATTTACTGAGAATCTTCCACCAAGTCCTTAGCACAGTTTTGATAGAAACTAGAGACCCAATTTCCACTTACCTTCCTGAACTTGGATGAGTTCCACTGTGCATAGCATGCATTTTATTAGGTCTCACAACCCCTGAGATAAGGTGGGTCGAAATAATAATTTAACTGTCACATCCTGCACAAGTAGGGAGGTAGGTAGGGGAATTCGCCTCATTGCAAGTCCAGAAAGAAGATGAGGCTGGCAAGTTTTATTTCCATATTAAATTTTCATATACAGCTCCAAATTCCTTTTGAAGTTTAAAGGATTAAGGAGAAGGGATATATATTTTTAAAACCCGGAAGGTTACATAAGGATTCTTTTCTTTCTTTCCTCCCCCCCCATCCCACTGTCTACTAACACTAAATATTCTCAAATAGGATGATGACAAGCATTAAAGCGCACTCAGCGTTCACAGATTGTGGAATGTGCGCCCAATGCAAAGCGGCTGACCAGCCATCCGCCGCGAGGACTCAGGGACAAGGGTAAAGCGGCAGGTACTTGGGGTGCGAGTACCGGTTCCAGGTACAGCGGAAACTGCGTTTTAATTCCCTGGGGTCTGGAGCTCCCGCAAATCTGACACCAGCGCACAGCAGCGCCCCCGGCAGTTTAGCCAGGCTTGACCAGAACTCCGAGGGCAGGAGCGGAGGAAACGCTTTCTTTTCCAAAGTCCAGTCTCTGCTCACGCCCCCCGCCCAGGCCTTGCCCCCAACAGAGACAACACGACTGGAGTGTCCAGAGTGCGTCCTGCTCTTTGGATTTCTGGAACAGCAAATTTTATAACAGCCAAAAATAAAATCTTTACGACCGTTTTTATTTTGCTTAATATGGAGCCCTGTGAATTCATGCATAACACATATACCGACAGATAGTTAATTTATCGAGGAAAAGCAGTGTTAACACCAGTTCCCCTCCTCCCGGACCCTGTCCCATTCCAACCCCGGCAGGCGGGAAAGACGAACTCGAACACCAAGACATCACGGTGGTTGGTAACGAGGACACTTCAGGCGGGTGGAAACCTCCCAGTCTTCCGAGGCGCAAAGTCCCTCCCGGGCTTACCCAGGCCGAGCCGCAGAAGCGCGCGGACACCGCGCGACTCCATCCTGCTACCTGCAGCGGCGGTGCGACTCCGAGGAGCCGGCGGGCTCTTGGGCTGCGAGCGGGCGGCGGGCGCAGAGGGGAGCGCACCTGCCCGGCTGGAGCGGTTGGGGCGCGGCGGAGAGACTGGAGGGCCACCGGTCAGCCGCGTCCCTTCGACGCAGACACAGGCCCGTCAGGCAGTGGAGCTCAGAAGGTCCGAGGTGCGACCTTTATAAGTCTCGGGAGGAGCCTCGCACTTGAGAACTTACTAGCCGGGCGAGGTACGGAGTATCCAGAGTTTCACAATCCTCCCCAGGGGAGGAGTGGCCTGAGCATTGTCCCGACGTCATCCTCCGCATCTGAACACCCGAGAGAGTGGTTGAGGAATGAAAAAAGGACCTTCTGGTGCGCCGAGGCTACTCCCCAAACTTTTCCACCTTTCCCTCTGACTCCTGCAGGTGGAGGTGGGGAGCGTGGACCGGATGGATTGGGATACTTTGTGGGGTCGTCCGCCAGAATTGCTGCGGGTGGTTTTGGTTGCCCTGGGTGACAGGCCTAACTGGAATGAAAGTCAGTCTTCCCGCCAGGGCTGCTGTTCCCAATAGGAGCTTTTGGAGGTATGTGCGTGTAAGACTTAGGAACATTTTTGAAGTTTGGGGGGTTCAGACGCTCTCCCTGAATTCATACCCGCCACTACCCACGAGTGCCTTTCATGTCTACACCTTCCTTCTCTGAACCTCTGCTTCTGCGTGGTGCTACTGTATTTTATGGCTTCCAAGTCTAGTAATCATGAAAAACGTCCTAAATTATTTTTTGTTCTGTTTGCCATCCACCAGACTGCTGCATTTGATTTCACTTCCCCAAATTCTGCCTTAATCCTGCCACTTCCTTGTACAAAATCTTTCGGTGACTTCCCATTGTCTTTTGGACAAGACCTTCCACAAACCTGAGCCCAGCCTTCTCAACCTCAGCTCCCGCTAGTTCGCCAAGTGGTCTCACCCCAGCCCGGCTGGCCAGCTCGTTATACCTCTGCTCATTCCCACTTCCTCGGGTGCTGTTGGAGGCACAGTCTGGGGGAATGACTGCTTTTAACGGAGTTAGTCAAATCCCGCTCATGTTCACGGTTCTCCTCAAGGGCCTGGATCTCTTGTTCCTACAGATCACCTTTGCATTCTGATTTCGTACAGCTTGAATCTTTTTATCTGCCACCTAGGCCCACACGATTCTAGATCTGGTACTTCACACCTGATCTGTATTATTTAACTGTTCTTGTTTGTATGTCGTAAGGTCAAATCTGTAGAATACATAAATTATCTTACTTCTTATTGCATTCCCCTGTAGGGCCTAAGAACAGTGAGTTAGTCCTGAAAACACATTTGAGTACAAAATGAAGTCTGATGAATGCTGATGACTCCTAGCTTTCTACTTTTTATTATTTTCCTCATATTATTCCTTTTTTTGTCTCATTCTTCCTCACCCCAAGTGATGCCCTTAAAATGACCACAACTTCTGTGCTGGAAACATATGCTTATGTAATCTTTTGGTCAGTGGTTAAGACCATGGGCTCTGGATTTAATCTGTCTGCTTGTGAAAACTTGAACAAGTAATTTAATCTGTCTCAGTTTCCTTGTATGTAAAATAAGGATGATAATAATAACACCTAACTTAAAAGAAAATAATGAAAGTGCTTAACACAATGTCCCGCGCAGGGTTAGTGCTCACTGAAATTACCTATTATTATGTGTAAACATAATGCTGGTACTCGGTAGGATAGTGGTACTTGGTGGGTGGTTAACATTCCTGAATCAGTGTACAATAGGAGCGAGATAGGATTAGGGGCTCCTGAATCTAGCTTCTCAGTCTATCAAGAAATCAGGCAGAAAGTGACTTCTTACTTAACTACTCTTTCATAAAGTCAAAACAAAACAACAAAATGAAACCCAGAAAGGTAATTTTGAGAATGGCTTTACAGTTTTACTGAGCACCAATAAGGATCACAATCTGGTCAGTTAGAATCAGGACTAGAGACTGCTGGCTATGTAGTAGCTTTTATTTTACAAAGTAGTTTTGGGAAAGAAATAGCTTAAATGTTTGAAAAATTAAGGTAGAATTTGAAAGAATGGGGTGTCAACTGGGAGCCCATCCTTACTCTGCACAGTGATGAGTACTTGCAAGGAGTGACAGGAAATATTTTTTAGTTCTAATTAATGTCTCATTTCCTCAGATACGGCATTGTGCTTTGTGCTAAAAAAAAAAAAAAAAAAAAAGGAGGGGGCGGGGCCACAGGAGAATGGGGCCGCTCTGCAACAGTCTGCTCTATGGTATGGACACGTGGGGAGGACTTTTTCTACTCCGTAGCTGATGTTTAAAGCAAGAGATATCATCACTGTGAAAAAAATGCTGTGCTTATCCCCCAAATTTCCACAGCAATGTACCTTCACGCGGTGTGAAGAAATCTTGTCTTTATTGGTTCTCTGTTTACTCAATTTTATGGGCATTCGTTTTTGAGAATGACTCCATCATGACGCATCAGGGAAGATTGGCCACTGCCCCCGCATGTCGTCATGGTCTTCTTTTTTTAATAACTGGGGACAATTTTCATTAATTATTCATTTAAGTATAAATACATAGCAGGACATATAATCACAATATCTCTTAAAGGCACAAACATATTTGAAGATAGAACAATTTGGGAAGAAAATAATCGAGTCATATGGAATTTTCATACTAGAAAGTGACTTAAACACATCAGACAGATCAACAATTCCCAGTCTGAGAGGTACCAAAATATTATCAAGGGTTTAGTAAACCTAAATAATATCTGTATTATATCATCTCCACTGTGATTATTAAAGTGTATTCATTTTACATTACACTAAATTCAAGGTGGCTTGGTCGTCTGTGTTAATTGATGCATAACAAACATATAACCACTATCAGGCAGGGAAATGCTTGATAAAAGCAAAAATAGCCTTTTTACATTAAAAGGGCATCCTCTGAAGAGAAGGGAGGAAATCCTGGGCTGCAGCGTCCACACACAGGCTCTGCAGACTCCTGCCAGATCAAAAAGGGCCACACCTAAAAAGGTAGTATCTAGCCTCAGGCAAGGACTTCTAAACTTCCTAACTCTTTTTCCATTTCTTGGTTGTTGGTCCTCCCTCCCCCAAGTTGGTGCACTTTGGGACAGCAACTGGCACTTGTTTATTTTGAAATCACTACTTTTTAAACTGAAAACACAGCATACCTACTTTGGTGAATTAGCTTTCTTGTATTACTAATGTTTAAAGTCTTTTTGTTAGCTAGTCCTTAGTAAGACTAGCTGAGATGGGATGGCACAGGATCACTTTTTGACAGTGAAGGCATTGACACATAAGGACAGTGTCCAAGATGAGATGGTTAACTTTAATATTCAAAAGATGAGACTCTAAAAATGATTCTGTTCTATTAGATGCTAACTTTTGAAAAACATAATTTTATTCTAAATTTAGTTAGATGTTAACCACATGGAGGCCTTTTAAACAAGTTTAACTTGAACGAAGAATTTGTGTAATAATTTTAAAAATATATGTTTAAATTAAATAATATCTTATAAAATACAATTAAAGCACACATTTCCAAGAAAAATTCTGGGCTCTATATTTACCCATAACCTTTACAAGACAATAATAGTTTTGCTTTTTCTCTTTGACCAAAATCAACAGACCACAAAGCTATTTAGGAAAATTTCTCATTTAGTTATATCCCCAGCAAATATTTATTGAATATCTGTGTAATGGAATTATTATATAGGAACAGATAAGGTAGAGATATGTGAGTATATCCCTGAAGCCAAAGAACATTTAATTCAGTTAGAGACAAACTAGAGAGGAGAAACATATATTGAATATATGGTACTCTTATCTAAATAACCTCTTTCACAGACTTTTTCAGAAGAGTCTTTTTCTCTGGATTAATCTGTTCTTAACTGAGAATTGGTTGAAGAATTCAAAGGGCAAAATTCTGTTGTTTTTCTTAAGTCTATTATCAAAAACATAGAAGAAAATAAAAATTGGGACTGCTTTTAAGTCTCTTAAGTAGTCAATTATTTGTCACCCTCAGAATTTGAGGGTTGTTCTTAAATTGTAATGGCTTCAATGTATTTGAAAATTCACATACCATTTGAATGTTAAGTGAATGGTGCGAACAGCTGATTGATTGGATGAGTGGACTCACCAAAAAAAAACACAAAACACAGTATCTTCTGGTTGTGGCTTTGTTTTTAGCTTCAGAACTATAGGTGGAAAGGGACATGAAAGTACTTGATATTTGTTCTTAAATCTAAATGAGATGTGCCTGATAATAATAATGATAGCAAGTAATATTCATACCTAACAATTTAAACTCACCTGTCAGTTTAAAATATGTTTGCTTACTTGTTCCTCCTTTGAGGTGAGTCCTTTTTTTATTTCCATTTTACAGGTGAGACTAAAGCAAAAAAAAACCTTTTAAAATCTGTCTGAGGCCATTCAGCTAATGGATGACAGAGATGGGATTCAAACCAGGCAGCCTAACCCCAGCCAGCACCGCTATCTTCACTACCACACTGTATTATTGCTTTTACTTGTACTATTTAGTGCACTGAAAGTTTGCTGTATGTGCAGTGTTCCCCTATAGTTTCATGAAAATCCATTTCTGGTTCTCTAGTTTCAGATTATTTGCTAAAAGCATTCACATTCCTTTGCAGGTAGTTTTACGCTCTTTCCTTTAGAAGAATGGCCTCTATTATTGTTTTCCTATTAAGGAGAAAAACGTGTGCGCCTGTCTTCCATCTTCCATTGTCAGAGAATTTGTTAAACTGTGTAACTGTTCCTTGTGCTTATGCAAAACATTTTATTCTAAAAATGTCATATCAAATATTCCTTCCAGGAATTTCATCAACAGAATCCTCTGAAAAAATCATTCCGTAACCACAGAAGTTAAAGGAGGAGATGCTATTTATATTAGGAATCTAACCAATTCTGAGACTGCTGCTTCTCGTACTTGCCATCAGGTATGCCCTGGGAGCACCTCCCGTTCCGTGACTTATGTATGCCCACAGAGCATCGATTGCACAAGCAGTGATGATGAATCGGGAATGCAGGCAGATTTAAATCCCTATTTAAAGCACTACTATTTCATGTGTAGCTGACGCCTACTTGTATGTAATTG